CCCAGAGCTGGGGAGGCTGAATACAGGTGGATCACTATGAGGCCTATCTATGTAGTGAGACCCTGTAGACCCTGTACTAAACACACAAAATAAAGTGTGCTATTTAGTCTCCATGTCATTATACAATTATTTTTAGTTTCTCTTGCTATACTCTAACTTTCTTCCATAATACATAGAAGATACATGATGTGCAGAAGTGTTCTTACCTACATCCTCATCCTCAGTTCCTTTTTATTGTTATTTCGGGGGCTTGAGGATATACTTCAGTGACAGATATTTTTTTGATCAACTATATAAAACCCTTTGATAAATCCTGAAGAACTCAAAAAGGAAAAAAAAATCAACTGTTTTTATTTGATAGAATTGGGGCTAGCCAGATAGCTCAGTGGAGTAAAGTGGCTGCTTAGGCAAACACAGGGGCCAGGATTTGATTCCAGGCCTGCCCTGCTGGCCCAGGTCCCAGGGTGCACTGTGATGACAATTGAGACTGGGCATGGCAGCACACATCTATAATCCCAGCTGTTGGGAGGCTGTAAACAAGAGGATCACTAAGTCTAATCTACATAGTGAGACCATATACATCCTGTAGACCCTGCCCTAAATACAGAAACAAAAAGAAATATGTTGTTGATTCTCTGTTTACATATGTGTATACTTATTTGCTCTTCTGGAAATGCATTTTCACTCTTTTCACTATAGAAATACTTCATATTTTTTAGTTACTATTATGTGAAAGATGACTGCTTTGTTAGACCTCATAAGCACAATGAAAATTAGCATATACAGTTGAACTCAGTGTCAGACAACTGCAAAAAACTGAATTGACAAATAATAGGACTTCAAAATAGACTGATGTTTTTCCTTTCATTCTTTTCACCCAAATTGAAGAATAAGCCTGGAATTGAACCCCGGCCTCTGCATCTGCCTAAACAGGGGCTTTAGTCCACTGATCTATCTGGCTGGCCCCAATTCTATCAAATAGAAACAGTTGATTTTCTTCCTTTTTGAGTTCTTCAGAATTTATCCCAGGAGTTTATATAGATGTTCAAAAAATATGGTAATGAACCCTGCATGTATTCCTTGAAGATAATGTCACACAGCCCTCAACTTATGATGGTTCAATGTAGGAATTTTTAGTGTCATGATAATGCAAAAATAATATGCACTGCATAGTAAAAGTACTTCAAATTTGGACACTGGATTTCTCTCAAGCTCTCCCTGAGTGGCATGACCCTCTCTCATAAAGCTGAGCAGCAGCAATGAGCCACTGTAGGTGCAGGATCAAGAGAAGCAGCAGCCCGTGCTGTGCCGTGGACTGTGTTGCTGGCAGGTTTTGGATGCTGTGTTTGTACGCCCTATCACATTTACAAAACTCCCATCTGTGACTCTGCATGAGATATTGAACAGTTTATTATAAAATGGAATTTGAATTAGTTGATTTTCCGCAATTCTTGGCTAATGTGATGGTTCTCAGCACACTTTAGGTAAGTAAAGGCCAGTCTGTGCTGTTTGAT